GCTATTGTTAGGCCTTCTTATGAATTATGTGGGGATTGCTTAATTTTATTGTATACTTACCGAGATGTTTTCATTTACTGTTTATGATTACAGTACTCACATTTTGTTATACTTTTGTAATTATGTAAATATTTTCATGTTGTAAGCTGCCTTGAACATTGTTTTAACCATAGAAAGCCAGCATAATGGCAGTAATGTCACAAAGTGAATTTTGAGTGAGGACTTTTCAGTTCAGTGCTGCCCTCCTTTTGAATAAGTGAATAAATTTGTTCTCTTTTGCAGCTCTCTCTTCTTGGAAAAAAAGAGGGGATTTTTACCATCAAGTTTTACCATAAAAGTTTTCATAAAAACTGTTTGCATTTTCAGCTGAACCCTATCACACACTTTATTCTATACTTACACAAATGCATCAGAAGAGCCTGCTGAATCAGGCCAGTGGTCCATCTAGTCCAGCATCCTGTTCTCTCAGTGACCAACCAGAGTTTCCAGATACTGGTACCTCTTCTTACAAGGTACAATCAAATGCACATGAAATTCATTGCCTGCATTCACACTAAGGTTACCAGATGTCCCCGTTTCCCGGAGACAGTCCCTGGATTTGCAAATCAGTCCCCATACAAAATCCATTGAAGTTGAAAAGTGTCCCTGGATTCATTGAAAAAAATCTGGTAACCTTAATTTACACATTACTAAACACATATTTATCTGAAAGGCTAAGATAACAAGGGAAACATTTTATCTGGTCAGATGTTTAGACGAACAGGAGTGCTGTTGAGATCAGGTAATTTTTTGCAATAATTTCCCAGGCCATAAAAAGGTAAAGGTAAAGGTACCCCTGCCCGTATGGGCCAGTCTTGACAAACTCTGGGGTTGTGCGCCCATCTCACTCAAGAGGCCGGGGGCCAGTGCTGTCCAGAGACACTTCTGGGTCACGTGGCCAGCATGACATCGCTGCTCTGGCGAGCCAGAGAAACGCCGTTTACCTTCCCGCTAGTAAGCGGTCCCTATTTATCTACTTGCACCTGGGGGTGCTTTCGAACTGCTAGGTTGGCAGGCGCTGGGACTGAGCAACGGGAGCGCACCCTGCCGTGGGGATTCAAACCGCCAACCTTTCGATCGGCAAGCCCTAGGCGCTGAGGCTTTTACCCACAGCGCCACCCGCGTCCCAGGCCATACTTATTTATTTACTAACCTGATCAAAATGTTAAAGTGTGAAAAGAAAACTTCTGTGTGAATAACTTTTATACTCCCTGCCAAAGAACAGAGAAACAAAAATCCACTGCAGAAATGACCCAGTATTGACTTTTATTGTCAGGAACACATATCTTCCTCATGTGCCATATTTCTATCATTTTTACTCCGTATCAGTAATCTCATTGAAAGTCAAGCCTTCCTCATTTACGTCAGTCGCTCTTTCCCAAGTCCCCAAACTCTCCTGTTGAGATTGGGAGCTACCATTCCCCCCTCCATGGGGGTGGGAGTGTTAAGCCAAAGGATGAATGGAGACTGCAGCATCAATACCACTGACGTGTGTAATACTATGAAAAGTATCCAGTGCTGCCTTGGCCTCAGCACTGCTGACACTATGACAAATGTTTCTTCCCTTCAATTACAGGGCCAGTTTCGGGCTGCAGTTCTATACACACTTAACCTGGAAGTTAACTACCACTGAACTCATATGATTATACTTTAGTTATGGATAGTTGTGATTTAGGACATGTAAATTCTGCTTTCTGGAAAGAACACACAACAGAGTCTAGCAGAAGTATGCTGTTAGGTTTTTACTAGTGAGAATGATATGTGTTCTACAAGGTTACTGAACATCATTTTTTTCAGTGGGCTTTATTTTTTTAACTTCGTTTCCTCTCTGGAAATTCTGTTGTTATCTTCTAGGAAAACCAGAGCACTTGAAATGTTTGAAATATCAAATATTTGTCTGGTCTATGAGGAAGTGCCCTCATTACCTCCATTGTTCTATAGTTGGCCACCAAAAAAGAAATGCTGTTATTAAGCTCCTGTGTGGTGTTAAATGTGTGTGGAAGGGTGGACCTGGATGTATGAAAATGGTCCTTTTAAAATGGAAATACACTGATGTGCTTCCAGAAAATAGCTGCACTAGATATGGCTCTGCCAAACTTTTCTTCTTGAAATGAATGTAAGGTTGAGGAGGGATCTGATCAACTTATGAACGATTACACAAGCAAATGTATGGTTTGGGACCATAGCGTGGCAGTCCCAGGTTCAATTCTTGGTGTCTCCAGGTAAGGCTGGGAAAGTTGGAAACCCCGAAGAGCTGCTGCCAGTCTGGGTAGTTACCAGTTTTCAGAAACCACAGGCGGGCAGAGTGCTGTGTGCTCATGTCTAGCTTTCCACAAGTATCTGTGATAGCAGGATACTGGATTAGGTGAGCCTCTGGGCTGTTCCAGCAAGCTCATCTTATGTTCTTATGTAGACAATGATGAGCAAGATGGACCAATGATCTGACTCTGTACAGTCCTATGTTCAATCCCTGGCATCTCCAGGTTGGGCTTGGAATAGCATAAACCCTGCTGTTCCAGGGTTGAGCTAGATGACCCAAAGGCCTCTCTCAGTATAAAGCACCATCCTGCATGGAAGATTCATGTTATTTTCTACTCTCAACTGTTTTCTTTATAAGCCACAGATGGAAGAACCTCAGGCCTAGGGGCCAAATGTCCCCTGTTGCCTTCAGTACTCTCCCTGGGGCATCCCTCTCAATGACACTGGCTTTGAGAATTCATTGAGAATGCTTCTTGTTCTGTGCATGTTGATGCACACCCAGCACTTGTTGGCTGCAGCACCCATGGAGATTTCCATGTATGGAAGAACATCAGAAAGAGAGAAGTTAAGAGTCAGATTAGGACCTGGGAGACCAGGGTTCAAAACCCCCACTGGGGCATGAAGTTCACTGAGTGGCCTTGGGTCAGTCACCATCTTCAAGCTTAACCCTACCTCACAGGGTTGTTGTGGCAATTAAATGAGGAGGGGGGGGGAGGACCTTGTGTACCACCTTGAACTCCTTGGAGAAAAAGGCAGGATATAAATGCAATAAATAAAGTTTTAAAATGCACATTACTTGTTTCATCACCCAGTGTATTCGTATACAACAGTGGGGAGCAGGATTGTGCGTATATCATCTGAATACATTTGTTATGATGTTTGAAAGAGCCCCATATATCCAGCTGTCTATCACATTTTCTCCATGCTGGGTTTCTGTGGGGGGGGGGAAGCATTCCAGGTGCACAGAGTACATGTATAAAACGAACCTGCGGAGGTTAGATGCTCAACAATCCTGCTCCCACCTACCACCTTCCTTTATCCTTAGAACGGACAAATTTGTTAAAACAACAGAAGACCGCGGGTGAAAACTCGACGGAGGAGCGTTAGATTGGAGGCAACACTAAGTAAAAGCCCGCTTTAGGGTGCTCTACCCAGCTCAGACTGGTTCCCATGTTCAAGGGGTTACAAAGGTGCCTGCCTGCGAGCCAGCCTACCCTCTTCCTCTCTACCAACAGAAAGTCTGCTGCAGACATACACGTGTATTACACTCTCTTCATTTCCCCTCCCCTGGCGGCCCGGCAAGCTCAGAGGAGCGAACCCCAACCCCGCAGCAAAGCACTGCCGAAAGTTCTGGCTGCGGTGCGTAATAGACCCATGGTCCCCATTCACACGTGCACTTGTCTCTCCCCCCTCCTTTCGCGGCTCCCCTCCTCTGCGCACGTGCGCTTCGGTTTCCTCTCTCTCCCTCAACCTTCGAGGCGGCGGGCCGGCCAAGGAGCGCGCGCGGGAGGGCGGGGCGGGAGAGAAGCGAGCGGGCCCCGGCCCCTTTGGACGCGCGCGCGAGGTAACCCTCCTCGGCGGTGTGCTGCTGAAGGGAGCGAGAAAGCAAGAAAAAAAAAGGGGGGCAGTACTGCCAGAGAGCGAAGCGGCGGCGAAGAACCCGGCGACCCCACCACCAAGTCCCCCCCTCGGCCTCATTCAAGTTGGGCGGTGCCAAGAGCAGCCGCCACCGTCGCCCCGCTTTTGGAGCACTTTTGGGGCGCGTGTGTGCTTGGAGACAGCGAAGCTGCCTGCCCCGCGACCCTCCCTCTCCGCAGCTATCCGGGGCTCCTTTTCTTTGGCGCCTTCTTTCTCCCCTCACGAGTTCCTCTGCCCTTTCTCTCTCTCCACACACACACAAAACAGTCACTTCCAGAAGAGAGGAAGGGAAAAGAAAGAGACACATACAGAGAAAAAGAGAGAGAGAGACCCTTGCGCCGGCTGCCTCGGCGGCGGAGCGCGCGCCCGCCCGCGCGCCCGGTCGCCGTTCCCCCCCTCTCCTGAGGCAGGCGGGAGGAGGGGGCCCGAGAGAGAGAGAGAGAGAGAGAAGCCGAGAGAGTGAGAGAGAGCCGCTGCTTCTGCTTCTTTCTCTCCTCAGAGCCGGGCGCGTGGCTTCTTTGTGTGGTGCAGCTGGTTCTGGAGGCAGAGAGAGAGAGAGAGGCAAAACCCGGGGGCTTGCCATTGGAGGGGCGTGGGGAGAGAGAGAGAGAGAGAGAGAGAGAGAGAGGACTGAGAGAAAGCTTTCGCCCCACTTCTCCAGAGGCGCGAGAGGCTCCCCCTTCTTGCCCCCCCTCACCTTCGCCTCACCTGTGCCTCTCCTTCCCCGCCTTCGGCTCACCTGCCGCTCTGCCCCCTCCCCTCCCCCGTCTCTATCATCCCATCCCTTGTTTGTTTTTGTCCCCCCCCTTCTCTTTCTCCCTCCTCTTCCCTCCCTCCTTGTCCTCCAGGAAGCTTCGCCTCTTTCCACTTCTCGCAGATTCCCAAACAACTTGAGCAACGTTCTTCCCTCCAAACCCGGACACTTTTTTATTTATTTTTTTATTTGGAAGGTGGATCTATTGAGAGCCTCTCAGAACTTCACCCCTTTTTGGACCACACGGACATCCTCTCTTTAACTCTTCTTCCATCCAACACCCCCTTCTTTCCCCACCCCCCCCTGCCCCAAACAACCCCCCCCCAATCCCTTCAACATGGATGTAAGATTTTATCCTGCTGCATCTGGAAGCTCCCTTCCTGGAGACCCTTCCAATCTGGACTTTGCCCAGTGTTTGGGTTACTACAACTACAACAAGGTGACTACTTCTTTAATTCCTCCCCACTTTTCTTGTTTTATACCTTTGTTTCTGGTGTGCCTCTCTAGTTTTCCTCATAATATTGTGCCTGGTGGTGCTCTGTTTTGCGGTAGTATATTTTTGTTTTTGTTCTGGGGGTAGGTGGAACGAGGGGGAAAGGGCACTGCAACTGCTGAAACTTTCTTTCCCTGATGTTAAATGGGGCAGCAATTTTTTAATCAAAACTTTCTCAAGTGTTCTCTCCAACGCTACCGCCTCGCTGCTCCTTTCCATGGCCTGTACAAAAAGGCATCTCTGGCTCCTGTTGTTGTTGTTGCTGTTGCTGTTGTTGTTGTCGTTGTTGTTACTACTCCCCCTCCCCAACTTTGGAAGGATAATCCCTTATCATTTTCTCACAATTCTTTTGAAATAAAGCACAGTCTCCCTTGTAAATACACACATACAAATGTAGGGCTTGCGGAATAGCTACTATTTCATTGGCCGTGGGGGAAATTGCTGATGAAGGGAAAGTGTGTGCATGGTGTATCCGGGCAAAAATGGGCTTGTGCAGTTTGCAAAGATGCTGCTTTCTGCTTTACTTGGAATCCCTGGAACAATGGGCAGTTTTTGCTGAGGCTCTAAGAAGTACTTTGGGAATTGCAGCCAGTGAGCAGCTGCCACTATTGTCTGCCTTTCTTTCTTTCTTTCTTTCTTTCTTTCTTTCTTTCTTTCTTTCTTTCTTTCTTTCTTTCTTTTAGTTTGTTGTATTGTATTTATTTTTAAAAATATCTTTTTTTTAAAAAGTCAGATCTATTTCTTTTCTTACAGTCCTTGGTATTTAGAGTATGTTAAAATGTAATGCTGATCAGAGATTGTGCATTGCTGCCCACTCCCCCCCCCAACTCATTTGGGTCCTACTTTTTTCACATTCCGCCACAGTTAAGACATTAACTAAGGCATTAGTTCTGACAAAGCATGCTTGTGTGGAGTTTTATTGAAATCCGTGGGATCCACATCCCAGAAAAAAAAATGTGTTTAGGATCTGGGTGACAAAGGTCATTCCAAGTGGGAATTAGTTCAGTGGATGCATGATTCCTTGCCTGCTAACATTACAAAGCAAGCGAATTGTTTCATTTGACTTGTTTGTCTGCCGGAGAAGCTGTTGGTACTACTTAGCTCCATGGCTTATTTACATCTTTCTTGTGGCAGTTTATAGATGAGAAGGCAGCAGCAGCAGTCAGCAGAAGAGAAGGGCACTCCCTACCCTAAATGCATTTTACAAATAATAATAATAAAATGTTTCAACCACAGCTAGTCTGTTTTTGCCAACAACCGGGAAGCAACAGGGAAATGCAAACTTAAAGAGAGACATGGTGACTCATGCTATTCTGAAAGGGACTTCACTGTTTGCATTAGGCTGTGTCAATAGCTCACGGAGTTATTAGCACGGGGCCTTCATACATGTATATAAAGATCCCTTTCACAGCTAGCTGTCTCTCTCCTCCTCCACCACCACCACCACGCTGCATTTGCCCAGCCTCTGGGGCCCCTTGTGAGATACTGCCTGTTGAGATACTGTGCAAATGGTTAACTGAATGAAGAATGTAATGATGATCACCTAGGTAATGCATGAGAAAAAGGAATTGGTCGGGGGGTGGGAAGACGGAATTTTCAAAACAATATCTGCGGTTATCAAAAGTTTCTTACTAGGGGATTGCTTGAAAAAAGGATGTCACCAAAGCAAGCTCTTCTTTTAAGAAGGCTCTGTTTTCGAATGTGCTTGGTCAGGCATGATGGTCATGTTTGATGGAAGCTGAACTGGTGTTTGCCTTGTCCCATGTAGCCATAGCATACCAATTCCTTTTCACCAAGGTTATGTTAAGCTGCTCCTGGAGAATGCATGCCTGAGCGTGCTCTTGGGAGATACACCACTGAGAATATGAGCACGCTGCTGCCTTGATAGTATGAAAAAAGAAAAAGAGAGAGAGAGAGGAGGGACTCAACACAAATTAGGGACTAGAGCATCACCTTTGATTTTTAAGAGTTTTCAATGCTCTGAATAACTCTGCACAGTCGCTTGTTAGGGCAGCCAAATGTATAAAGTCGCCATCATTTAGAGAATGGCTAAATGTTTGCTGCACTTTGTATTAATTCATGAACATTTTTGAGCTAAACTATATACCAGCCATATTTTTTTGTTTGTTTATCCTTGGTGATAATGAAAAGACACTGTGTACATTCTTCTTCGTTTGCTATGTGCCTCTACAGAGTGTGCCTCTACAACATGTGAATAGCTCCAAAATTAGAAATTTGCAGAAGCAGACCAATTGTAGGTACCTTTTGAATAATGTTCCATTGTATCTTTAGCATCATGAGGAAGGAAAGTGTGAAACTGCTGTTGGATACCATTTCGTAGAACACCAATCTCCTCAAAACAAAACCAAACCAAAAAAAACACACTAAACTGGTAGGAAGCTATTAACTCTGTTGCACTTTTCCTGCCCCTGTTTAAAAAAACACTTGTATTGCCAACTTGCAATTAAGGTGGAGGATGGATATGACTTGGGCTGTGATCCTAAACACACTTTGAAATAAAGATCATTGAAATCAATAAGCTTTGTAACAAAATGTGTTTAGGATCAGGATGTTAAGACGAAAATTTTATTGCACTTTTAAAAAGTAAGTCTGCTAACCTAGGGGTTTACTCTAGGGTAAACAGTTTGAAGCCAGTGGTTGCAAATCTCATTCTAATTCATATAGTTTTAAACCACAGATGGTTGGGTGGTTGGTGACTTGTTCAGGTGAACCTTGCTTCTTTCTTTTGCTGAGCTCATCCAAGCTGCTCCTGGTTGCTTTGTCATCGAAAACGCCTTTGCATTAGTGTATTTTTACATACCTAGCTATAAGCTGACGTTCGTAAGATGTGTAGCCATCATTTGTAACAATGTTGCAGCAATGTTAGTAGTTGCATTAAAAATAAAAATCAGTGTCTAAGGCAATAATACTGTGGTCCATAAGAACCAACTCCTAGGGGCCAATGTCTCTTTGGCCCACCCAATAAAATATTTGAGGGGGCTGCCCCCCCAAACTTGATGGGCATTGCCATTCAAATGGTGTATGTGTGCCACATCATGTGATCAATTGTGCAGGACAGGGGTTACCTGCCCCCCCTCAATATTTTGTTCAAGTTGGCACTCCTGCTGTAGTCATTGCAAAGCTTAAGAACAGGCCAGCAGTATTGACTGGCAACGTAGTAGGGAGGACATTCTTCTGCATATGGTTGAATACAATGGGCAATAACACAAAATACATCATTTGCGTGTGTCTAGAATAGCTCATGGGTTAGAGCAGGCTTCCTCAACCTCAGCCCTCGGGATATTTTGAGACTACAGTTCCCATCATCCCTGACCACTGGTCCTGCTAGCTAGGGATCATGGGAGTTGTAGACCAAAAACATTTGGAGGGTGAGGTTGAGGAAGCCTGGGTTAGAGTAACTTCAGGAAAATCTGAATTTAATAGGATTTATTTAGAGTGAATGGTCTGAGGCTAGGCAATTGTGCAAGGCTTCATTGTAAGTGTCCATAGTTAAGAAGTTTATGCTATTTGGGTTGCATATGGACTATTAGGGATTGAATGGCTTTGTCCTTGCTTCATCCTTGCTACATTTCTAGTGTACCATATTAAGACATTATAACGTGTAAATTCAGTCCTGTTTGATGGTAGGGTGAAGTTGATGGGGTTGTTCTAGAGTTACTGGTTTGAGAAGTTTGCATTTGCAGGTCCATCTGCAAACCAGTCAAATCTCATTAGGATTGGTGCTTCACCTGGTTTATAGCCAAATAAATACTGTTGTACCAATCTAGTAGGACAGATTTTTCTCTTCTCTCTCCCATGGACAAATATATAGCAGGGAGCAGGGGGGAGCACAGGAACCTGCCTTACACCAGGCCAGAATTTTTGTTTGTTCAAACCAGAATATTTCACTCTTAACTAGCAATGGCTCTTCTGGGTCTGAGGCAGATGTTTTTTCCCACATTACCTGCTACTTGATCCTTCTAACTCAGAAGTGTGAAACCTGTGGCCCTCTGGATATGGCTGGACTACAATTCCCATCACCCCTGACCATGCTGGCTGTGGCTGATGGGAACTGGAGTCCAATAACATCTGGACATCTGGTTACAAGTTTCCCAACCACATTTCTAGCTAGAGATGCCAGGGGCTCAACTTCTGACTTTGGCTTGCAAAACATGTGCCCTACCACCGAGGTGCATGCATGCTACCTCTGAAGTATGTCCTCTTCCCTGGCACACACACTCTGTTGAGCTTTTGAGAATGTTTCCACCTGCAATATATTATTGTGCCACGTGTTGTTAAAACTTCTCTGTTAAAGCTTGCTTTGGAACAATCATATTGAAGGGTGGCATATGAATCTATAAAAAACATGAATGATGGTGGGTAGGGGGAGAGAAGCAGGTGGCACTGGGTTCTAAGTGTATCTCTCCCACCCTACAACTGATGATCAGTTAAGGCAGTGTTTCCCAACCTTGGGACTCCAGCTGTTTTTGAACTACAATTCCCATCACCCCTGACCACTGGTCTTGCTAGCTAGGGATGATGGGAGTTGTAGTCCAAAAACAGCTGGAGGCCCAAGGTTGGGAAACACTGAGTTAAGGGATAGTAGCAGACAGGCTGACACCCCATTCACTTGATCAACAATGCCACCATGAGTATGTTGGTGTCCTTTTGGGGACATTATGTCTTTGCTACCCCCCTCTCATACACTCTCAAACAACTGGGTTGATCTGGAAAAAGACTGTATGTGGCATAAGCTAAATTGCTGCATGCTGTGGGTTGTGGCACACTGCTTTCATAAATAGACAATTTTTGGGGGGGAGGGAGAGGGAGAGCGATAATACAGATGATGTTTCACAAGACAAGGCACAGCAAATGAGTTTCTGCAGCTGCAGTTATCTAAAACATTCAATGCAAACACCACAGTTGGGTAAATAGATGGTACAGAT